GGCCAAGAAGGTGGCGGCGAAGAGTCCTAAGAAGTCCAAAGTGACCAAGCCCAAGAAGACCACCAAGAGCCCCGCCAAAGCCCTCAAGCCCAAGGCGAAGGCCAAGCCCAAGGCTTCCAAGAGCAAACTCGCCTCCAAAAAGAAGTGAAGGCCTTAGTCCTGGACGGAGGGAGGGAGGCATCCTTAACCACAACGGCTCTTTTAAGAGCCACCCAAATATTCTCTAAAAGAGATGAAATCACTTTTGGTATTCGACTTTGACATTTCAGAACGATTCTTGTAGGTTTCCAGGTATTATGGGACCAAAACCTCCAGCATTCCTCACCCTTGTTTCTGCTTGCTGGGAGTTGTAGTCCCAACAGCGACCGGACAGCCATAGTAATCCCACCTAAAAACAATGAGTCTTTGTAATGCCTTCAAGAACAAGCATTTTTCCACCTAAAGGTCACTGGGCTTTCTTGGGAAGGTTTGTATAGAAAGGGTTTGCCATTGCCTCTGAGGCTGAGAGGGTGTGACTTGTGCCTAAGGTCACCCCATGGGTATTCATAGCCAAGTTTGGAATCAGCCTCGTCTCCAGTCATAATCCGCCAACCAAACCTCTAACTAGCTGCTTAAATTTCGCAGATGTTTTAAAAGGGATGTCTTTGACTAGGACTCCAGAGACCAGAGTTAGAATCCAGTTCGGCCTTGGCACCCCACCTTAGGCACAAGCCACACACTCTCAGCCTCAGGATGGCCATGGCCAATCCCCTCTGAAGAAAGATGGCCAAGAAAACCACAGGCTACGTCTCCAAAAGTCTGAAACGACTTGAAGACTCACAACAACATGCTCCATGTCCCAATCCTTACTGGTTAGGCTCAGCCATGGAAGGTTAATTTAGGCACAAGTCACACTCTCTCAGCCACAAAGGGAGACAACGGCAAACCCAATGGGTTTCCATGGCTGAGCCTGGCCAGTAGATTGAAGGGTGTGTGTGTGTGAGAGAGAGATTTACTTTCACATTGGTCCAATAAATCCGAAGCGATTTCAGATTCTCAATGGAATTTGCATAATGTTAAAAATACAATCCATTAAAGTAGTAAGGTTTTTTTAAAAATATGTTTATAACTGCTTTAGATTAACGCAGCCACATTTGTTTCTTTTGCCTGCCTTGAGTCCCCTTTCCTGTCTGGTATTTTCTAAAAAGTGATTAACTGTGGACCGACGAGGATGGGATTCGAACCCACGCGTGCAAAGCACAATGGATTAGCAGTCCATCGCCTTAACCACTCGGCCACCTCGTCCGAGGCTCCAGTCCCTTTTCCTTGGTTTTCCTGGCTTTTTTTTTTTTAAACCTCCTGGGAATGTCTCTCCTGCTCTTGATAGAGATGAATAAAAGATCCTAAAAACTCCATCAGTGAGGGGCCCATTTTCTCCGGGTTTCCTCCCCCCCACTCTTTTTGCCAAGAACTGTTTGGATCTTAATTGGAAAATAATTTATTCAAACGTCTCTGTGTGTGTGTGTGTGTGTGTGTGTGTGTGTGTGTGTATATATA